CGGTATACTCCATCAGGTACCAGGCCCACAAAAGGGTCAACATATAAAAAAAATTGTGACTCTCATAAAATTTGATGCAATGATCCGTTTGTCTTTCACACATCCCAATATTTTTATAAATCTAAGATCTGGTGTTAAGATGGAATAAATCCGTTCACCCCTTCTGGTACCTCCCCCACAAAAGGTCAAAATTTAGAATATCCATTAAGCTCATAAAACGCGAAATTAACATCTGATTCCATATAGACTTGGCACATCAGAATATTTTAATCAACTCAAGATATGTAAAATTTTAGGTCCGATACGAAATGGACAGTATTGGCCCATGTCCTCAGAACATACTCCATAAAGGGTCGACAATTTAAATACTCATAACAGAACTCAAAATATATTTAAATAATCGAACATTGGCTGAGGGTATACATCTGTCGGATAAACTGACAGATACTTTTTAACTTTTACGATTAGACAGTCGGAACGACGGACAAACAAACGGCATGTATAAATCGGCTCACAAAGTGATTCTAAGAAGGTCGTCAAAAGAGTTAATTCTCTAAATACGCCAATTAATTATTTTTTTTTTCTACATAAGTTACTTTTGATCTTCACTCGGACTTTTCTTAGATTTGTAAAGGTATTAAAATAATAAAAACAAACTCATAGATTTACCTGTATGCTATGCTCTACTCCACCTAGTTGTAGGGGTAATATGTCATCTATAAGCAAGTAAATCAAATTTGGAGAAAATCGTCAGACATAGCTATAGCTCACATACATATGTTTCATCTGATTTGGGGTATAAAGACCCTCACAAGAGTAATATGCATTCGACAACAATGATATTTGGTACTAGATATCTTATAAAGCTCGGAAATAAAAACTTTCGAATGAAAGGTCTAAATCAATCGAGATTATGCGATATACGTTCTTCTCAAAGAAAAGACAACACAATAGTATTTTTAAAATAAAGATATAAAACAGCCGAAAATGGCTATTAAATCGAATTAATGAAAAAAGATTGTCCCACAGCAATAACCGGTTTTATTGGCACTCAATTATTCTTTCTTTTTTACTATGTTAGTTCGAATGGCAGAAACACATAAACATATAGAAATACTCAATAACAGCGACTACAACTAGCCATTCGACAGTGTTGGTCTGTAATAAAAATTTTCATTCAAACATCAACAAGTCACAAGGCAGGTACAGTGGAAGACATTTATTTAAGTTTATATTTCTTCTAATACCTATACAAAATTATATATTGCATTATGGTGTCTCTTGGAGTTTCCTTTATTTATTCCTATTCTGACCTATATATTATTTTAAAATTTTAATTAGGACTTAGTCGTCCATTTAATATCAAATTTAAGCTACTCCAAATTGAATAAAAATTCACGATAAAATTGTCAACATTAATAATCTATAACGGTTTTGTTGCTTTTGTTGAAAGGTTCTATGTTATATTACCCAAGGCCAATTTAATAACGTCATACAGAAAGCGAATTCAGGCCTTATTTTCAGTGTAGAATCCATTAAAAAGGGAAAAACGAGTTTCATTTAAACCACATTTTTTACATCATTTTTTTAAGTGTTTCCTTTTAAATGGCAGAGGGTATTAAATTTTAAGCCTATTGTGTGTCAGACCGTTTGTTCATGTTAATTTGTAATCACGCTACAGGTCGAAATTATGTTGCGATCTTCATGCATGGAGTTAAGGTTAGAGGCGGAATATAGAAACAATTTCGGATTTTGACACTTATCATTAAATTTGGTCTCTGGCAGAAAAGTATAAAAGATAGCATACAAATTTGAATATTTTTGGTTACATATATATATATATACTAGCTGAACCCGGTGCGCTTCGCTACCCCTTTTGATTTTATATGCATTCAAAATTTTATTTACGAATATATGTTGGATAAAGAAAAATAAATTTAAAAATTAAAAAAAAATATTGCACTAATTTAATGCGTTAATAAACAAAATCATTACAAAAGCAGTAACATGACATGCATACACGAAGGGTTTGTCCTTTGGATTTATTTATTTCATAGCAAATACCAAGCGTGCAGTAAACTGCAATCTTTTGAAGTTGAGTGGCATTTCTATTGCAATTAGTGAATTCGAGATAGCAACATACTTCGCCGTAATAAGCGTATTTCTAATAAATTGTTGTGTTGTTTTTTAGTGTTAGCCTAAGGCGTTGTGGGTCAATGGTTCTTATTAAAATCATATCCCAATCTGATCCGATTTAAATATAATTTTAAAAAAATTACTTTTACACCAAACTCCGCCACACCTTTCATAATTCATTGAAATTGGTGCGTCAAATATGTGAAATCGGCCGAGAATATATATATGGGAGCTATATCCAAATCTTAACTAATTTCCAATTAATTTATCACATTTATTATTATAACCAAATTCCGCCACACATTCTGAATTTCATTGGAATCGGTCATATATATCGTGTTTGGTGTATAACATGTATGAAGTCGGCCGAAATATATATGTTAGCTATATCCAAACCCCAACTGATTTCAATATAATTTGGCAATTTTTGCTGGTGCCAGATTTTGTCCCTCTCGCTTTGGGTGCATCAAATATGTGAAATCGGCTGAGTATATATTTGGGAGCTATAATCACATCTGAGCGTATTTGAATATAATTTGTCAAATTTATTTTTGTACCAAATTTAGCCACTCATAATCAAAATCCCGTTACATATTCCAAATTTCTTTGGAATCGAACATACATATCGTGTATGGTGCATAAAATACATGAAATCGGTCGAAAATATATATGAGAGCTATATCCAAATCTGAACCGATTTTAATATAATTTGACAAATGTATATTTGTTTTAATTTCCGCTACACATTCCAAATTTCATTGAAATTAGAGATACATAGCGTGTTTGGTGCATCAAAAACATGAAATCGGTCGAAAATATATATGGGAGCTATATCCAAATCTGAACCGATTTCAATTTAATTTGACAAATTCATTTTGGCTCCCAATTCCGTTACTTATTTTAAATTTCATTACAATTGGAAATACATGTCGTGTTTGGTCCACCAAATACATGAAATCGGCCGAAAATGTATATGGGAGCTATATCCAAATCTGAACCGATTTCAATATAATTTGGGAAATCAATTTTTTAGATAAAATCTATCACACGTTTCAAATTTCATTGAAATTGGGGATACATAGCGTGTTTGGTGCATCAAATGCTTGAAATCGGCCGAAAATATATATGGGAGCTATATCCAAATCTGAACCGATTTCAATATAATTTGACAAATTTATTTTCGGATTAAATCCCGTCACACATTCCAAATGTCATTGGAATCGAACATTCATATTGTGTTTGAGGCATCAAATGAACGAAATCGGTCGAAAATATATATGGGAGCTATATCCAAATCTGAACCGATTACAATATAATTTGGCAAACTTATTTTTGTTCCAAATTCCGTTACGTATTCCAAATTTGGAGACTGTATCTTCAACCAATCAATAGATATGTGCATATAAAATCTAAATTTTTGGGAGGTACCTCCGATTCCGATGCTATATCTCCAGTTCCAAGTGGAAATTCAAAAATGTATATAGCCTATGTTACTTTCAGGCGATGTTGCAGTATATATGGAAATTTTCAGGAAAATCTATTCAGCGGTTTTCGAGTCCATAAATTACAAACAAACAAACAAACAAACAAACAAACAAACATACAAACATTTTCCTCTTTTATAGATATAGAAGATACAGCTCAGAGATACCTTTGCTAAATTTATCGAGATCGGTTCAGATTTGTATATAGATTTGGATATATGTCTATCCGATTTCGAGTTATTTGTCCACCAAATGGTTAATACAAGCCCGAATTGAAAATGCATAAATGCCTCGGCTAATTTAGTAGAAGTTGATTTAGAGGAGGATATTCCTCTCATATATTACTTCCTTTTGACTTTAAATTATAATTATAATCATAGTTGGTATGATTTAATTCTCATAAATTCCCCATAAAAACTTTTATTTGTTATTTGAAGTTTTACTAAATATGCAAAGTACTGTAGGGTATCATAAAGTCGGCCCGCCCGACTTTAAGACATTCTTTACTCTTTTATTTGGAGTCTGACATCTTACACAGAAATGTAACACTAATAACTGATGACCACATTGCAAACTTTTGTACATGTATTTATATTACTTTATGTGTAATGCCTTTTTAATTCAGGAAGTCGTATTTCAGTCGATGAATCAAAATTATATTTTCTCAAAACTGAATTTTTTGAGGTAAGACCTGTATTTTTTGAGATATGACCTCTTTGAGTAAATGAACGATGTGTATACAGATCGAGTTCTGTAAAGACATACTTTAGAAACTTGTACATTCCTAATGCAGGAGGTTATTAAAAGGTTGTCGAATTTAAGTTCTTCTTTATTTGGTTGCATTAAAAATTATCGGTCTAAATTGTGGTAGTTCCTTCCACGTTTAGTCATCTTGAAAATGTAGCACTTTAGCTTCTTAGTTTAAAGGATATCTTAGTGGTTCATACTTTAGAACAGGGTCGGACAAACGTAGGCACACGTCCCAATACATTATAATCAGGCCTATTTAAAACAATATATATAGGGAGTAATACGGTTGGGAGAACATAAATGTGTACATAAATGGCCGTACCTTTTAAGAATATTTCCTTTGCAAATCCAACTCTCCAATTAAAAAAATATATGAGACTAGGAATATAATTTTATATTCACTTCTGTTTTAGTTTAGTCATTCTGCTAAAATGATTCTATTGATGGAAACCTGAAATCGAATTCTAGCTTGCGATTGCAATCTAAATATATTGTGAGCATTCTTTCAGGAACTTTTTTTTTAAATAACATTTTTGAATAAAATACCTTTTATGTTTTCAATTTAATAGATCAGACCGCATCATTAACATGCATTGTAAATTATATTTTGTGATTTTGTTTATCTTACAGACGCCTCATCTTCCAATGAGGCGGTGCATCTACAGCAACGCCTTAAAAGTCTCAGTACGGAATTAGTCACACTGCGTAATCGTTTGCATGTGGGCCAAGGCCCGGGTACAATTGCCAATGGCAGTAATGTACAAAACGGCAACAATAATAACAATCTCACACTGCAACAACAACCGCAACAGTTGGGTCCCTTAACGACGGCCTTGGAATTGAGCGCTTCAAGTCCAAATCTGAATAGTACCAACATCAGCAACAACAACAATAGCCCTAATAATAACAACAGCACTAGTTTTAACAATTTCACCAATTCCAATGGCAACAACGTAGTACAACAACAGCAACAACCGCCACAATTGCATCAATCACAACATGGTTCAATATTTGCAACAATAAATAATAGCATCACTAATAGTAATAATCATAACAACAACAACACCACCACCAATAATTGTAGTAATAATAATGCTAATCTAACAACAACACCACCAACTAATACCGCCCATCACCATCAGCAACAACCATCATCACAACCACCACCACAACTACAGCATCTTAACAGCAATCATCACTCCGCAAGTCCATCATCAACGGCAACGCCATCAACAACCATTATTAACTGCAACAACAACAACAGCAACACGAACACCACTAAAGTAAGTAGAGTTGCCATATCAATATAACATTTCATTAGCTTTCTTTAAATTCGTGACTAATCGGTAATTTTGTTTATTTTTTATTATTCGTAGAACTTGCATACATTCAGTCATACATTGCCACATAATTCAACATCTGGTGGATCGGGTATTGTTTCATCACGAAATACATCCATTCCACATCCATTGCCACATCAGATCAATGAAAAAGGTAAACATGTTGTATTTGTTGCAGAATTCAATTATAGAGTCGGCAGTTGGCCATAGGAAGTTCCATCAAGAGCTTCCGAACATTAAACACTAAGCAGTTCATTTTCATTTCGTTTAGGATCATATTTACTTACGCAAATGGATTAATGCCTTACAACGCAGAGGTTATCCACAGCGGAAATTGTGCATTTTCGGACATATGTTTCTAATATCACAACAAGATAGTATACATATATCATGTAATGGGCCAAAATGGGCCTTATCGAACTCATGATTATAGACCCTATGTCTCTTTGGACGAGTTATGTTTAAGGACATTTTGGTTCAATGTGGCAGTGTCCACCCGCCTGTCTGGCTGGCTGATTTGGCCCCACATTTTTTGTCCTCCCACGCACCCGTATTTTTGTATACCCCTACCATACATAGTATGGAAGGTACATTAAGTTCGTCATTCCGTTTGTATCTCATCGAAATAATGATTTTAGACATATCAAAATATATATATTCTTGCTCGGCGTTAAATTCTAAGACGATTTAGCCCTGTCTGTCCGTCCGTCTGTTGTAATCACGCTAGAGTCAAAACGGATAAAGATAGGAAGCTAAAGTGTTGCACATATCAGTATTTTGTCTGCAGGCAGGTCAAGTCCGAATATGGGCTTTATGCACGATATCTTGTCTGAAAATCCGCAAAAGGAGTTCTTTGTGAGTACTTTACCCCCTAGAAAAGTATTGTCAATATAGGTCGACGATATCGTATATCCCCATATAACGGTACCTCCCTATAATCGGTGTTTTGATGATTTAAGCTACATTTTTCAATGACATTTTCTTAAAATCTATACTAAAAGTTCTCTCTAAGTACTTTACCTTCTGGAAGATAAATGTCTATATAGGTCCACGATATCGTATAGCCCACATGCAACGGTACCCCCCGATATACGATATTTTGACGATTTTGGGGATATTATTCACCGGAGTTGTTTCAAATTTCATATTTATAGTTCGTAATGGGTACTACAGCCTATAAAAAAAATTGCGTATGCAGGCCCACGTCTTCATATAGCCATCATATAACGGTACCTCCCGATTTTCGTTATTTTGATGATTTTAGCTACATTATTAACCGGATTTGTTTTGCAAGTTTCGTATTTGAATATTGTAATGGCTTTTGAAAAAAGTTTCCTATACAGGTCCACGCCATCGTGGAGACCCCAATATAACGGCTATATTCGGTATTTTTAAGATTCTAACAGAATTTTTAGCGAATTTTATTTTTTTTTTTTAATTTCCAAATTAGTTCCAATTGATGGAGGGTATTCAAAGTTTTCTTGTTAAAAAAATCGTATATCTCATTGGATGCGAACATAATATTCGGGTTAAAATTTAAAATTAAAATTTTTTAAGATTTGTATTAGATATAGATCAATGGTTAAAATGGACATTACCGCATAAATTTCTTACAGAGCGATGGGCCCAAACTTAGCAGATCGTTTGTTTTTTTAAGCAAAACTTGGAAACTGCGGGATGAACTGTAACGGCGATCTTTGTGTACTCACAACTCGAATAATGTTCCACAGACATTGGTTTAACATATATGTCGGAAAATTTTCTAACGTAGTTTCTCATCAATAGCTCAGATCTATATGTGGTCGAAATTGTTTCAAATTTGTATACCACATACATGAACTTTACAATATGAAAGTGTATTTTAAAACCGAATTTATTTAAAAAAATTGTGCTACTCAAAAACACCTGTACCATAATTTATAATGGCGTATTACATTTAATTCATTTTTTGTTTATTTACATATTTTTATATTGTATATTAAAATGTTCTTGATATTTTTATATTTATAAAAAAATATACATATTTTTTTTATATATTAACTTCATAAATACCTTTAAAGAGTATAATACATTTTAAATCCTTTTTGTCTTTAGGTCCTTCATCAGCCCAAAATTTTATGGATTCCATTGTAATGCCAGTTTTATCCACGCCACTCAATACAACATCTCTAAATTACAATTCAAACACGCTACCAATGCGATCATCTAGCTCTCATGCTTCTCACTTGCAGCATCAGAGTCAACATAATTTACAACAATCACACCTGCATCATCACCAACCATCGTCGCATCACACCAACGGCAACAATCAACAACACTTTCAGCAACAGGCAATACCGCATCAGCTGCATTCATCACATCACCAACAGTTGCAGAATCATCAACAGCAACAATTGCCATTTATACCGATACAAAAACACTTGAGTCCATGCAATGGTATCAATACACTTCCAATATCATTCACGAATAATCATGCCCGACCCACCATCAATACTATTCAAAATATCAATCATCGCGCCAACCAATATGCCAATCAATTGCATCCCACCTCCATACATTCCAGCGGTGGTATGTTTGGCGGAATAATTCAGGGGCCGATTGATAACTTTCCGACATCAGGAGGTCAGACGAAGCAGCCGCATGAATTGGATGATTTAATTCACCTTTCGGGACCACTAACAGAGGATGCGGTAATGCGAACTTTGCAATCTCGCTTTCATGACAATTGTTACTTTGTAAGTATTCCAAACAAATGTACCTGAACGAATTTTTTTTATCGTGAGATGCTTAACTATATATGTCCTTGAATCCTCAATGATTGTATATGAGAGAGGGTATATATCATTTGATAGGGCCAAAACGTGCCTCATCGAAATAACGGATTTAGCACGATAACTTTTGAAGATAGTATCCGATTTGATTCAAACTTAGTACACCGTAACATTATTGTCAAACTTAGATCGAGTTCGGAGATTGGAAATGTCGGTCCACTCCTTCTGGTACATCATTGTCATCATTTTCAAACAAAATAATTTACTGCATAGGAAGAGAAAAGATAATCCGATTTTGCTCCAACTTTGCAATTCCTTATATTTGCATTAGTGCTAGGTCAGGTGCGATGAATAATTATAATACTTATAAAATGTGATGTAAGAGTCTGATTGTCTTCAAATTACATACATCACAATATATTAATTAACCCAAGGCCTGGTGTGAAGAAATTTAAAAAAATTTTTTTTTTTTGCACAGAAAGGGAAGCAATAATCCGATTTTACTCCGACTTTGCAAATCCTAATATTTGCCTTAGTTCTTGGTGAGGTGCAAAAATGGATAATATATGTCCATCAAGTGCTTCCCCACAAAGGATCAAAATTTTGAATAATAAAATAAGAATCCGATTGTCTGTGATGTAAGACTCCGGTTGATACTTTTTTACTTGTTATTAATAATTGTCTATAATAATTATTTTAATTGTTCATATTATTAATCTTTTTATATAACAACTTAAAAATAGTGACTTTACATGGATATTTCGAAAATTAGAGCAGATATAGGAAAATTGATCAAAAATTGAGAATAGCATACTGAAAGAGATTTAAAAGTATTCTTAAATGTATAAAATATGTTTTATTTCCTTATTTTCATACCCTCCACCATACTATGGAGGGTATATTCATTTTATCTTTCCGTTTGTAACTCATCGAAATAATGATCTTGATCAGCGTAAAATTCTAAGACGATATAGCAATGTCCGTCTGTCTGTCTGTCTGTGTGTCTGTTGTAATCACGCTATCTTTCGAACGAATTGAGATAGAAGGCTAAAATTTTGCACACGTGTTTATTTTGCCAGTAGGCAGGTTAAGTCCGTAAATGGGCCATGTAGGTCCACGTTTTCATATAGCCCCCATATAACTGTACCTCCCAATATTCGGTATTTTGATGATTTTAGCTTCATTATTCAACGTACTAGTTTCAAATTACGTATTTAGAATTTGTAATGGGAACTACAGTCTGTGACAGAAAATTGCCTATGCTTGTCCAGGTCTTCGTATAGGCCCCATATATCAGTACCTCTTTATATTCGGTATTTTAACGATTTTACGTACAATACTCACCGAAATTGTTTGAGATATCGTATTTGAAGTTCGTAATGGAAGCTACAGCCTGTGACAGAAAATTGTCTATACAGGTACAGGTCTTCGTATAGCTCCTATATAAAGGTAACTCCCTATGTACGGTATTTTGATGATTTTGGCTATATTATTCACCGTTTATTTCTAGTTTCGAATTTGAATATGGTAATGACTTGTAACAAACAATGCCTATGTAATTGCACGTCGTACAGGCCCTAATATATAAGGCTATATTCGGTATTTTTTAAATGTTAACAACATTAAATATGCCGAAGAATTTGTATTTTTATACCCTACACCACAAGGTGGTCAGGGTATTATGTCTTGGTGCGTTTGTTTGTAACAGGCAAAAGGAAACGAGATAGACCCATGGTTCCTTTTGATGATCTGCATAGAATCACATTCTGAGTTGATTTAATTATGCCCGTCCGTCTGTCCATGTATTTTTGTAAACAAAGTACAGTGCGCATTTATTGCCCTATCCAGATGAAATTATGCACAAATCAAATTTGCCCATTTGGTGCACAGTAAACTTGAAATCGGATAAAGATATATGTGGGAGCTATATCCAAATCTGAACCGATCTCGATAAAATTTGGCGAAAATATTTCTGAGCTGTATTTGATTTATTTCCCTGAATATGGTTGTTGCGGAGTGCATATTCCGGCTGGGGGAACAAATAAATATAACAAATCGGATGAACAATATATATGTGGGAGCTATAGCTATATCTGAACCGATATTCACCAAATTTGACATACTAGCTTGTAGACTCAATTCGGTCGTAAGTGCCAAATTCCATCTCATGTCGTCTTATGTTACATGTTTCGTGCAAAAGCAAATCAGACGAAGATATATATGGGAGCTATATCTAAATTTTGACCTATTATCTCCAATTTCAATACGGATCGTTCTTGGGCCAAACAAAAGTTTTGTGCAAAACTTCATCTGGATCGGGCAATAAATGCAATATAATGTTTTCAAAAATACATGGACAGACGGACGGACATGCCTAAATCGACTCAGAATGTTATTCTCTGCAGATCATCAAAAGGAACTATGGGTCTAGTTCCTAGACATAATGTCCTGACCACTTTGTGGTGTGGGGTATAAAAAAATAAGTTAGTCCATTTACGTACAGAACAACTCACTAATTTTATTCCTTCTTTTCACTTTTAGACAAATGTTGGACCTATTCTGTTATCCATCAATCCATATCTTCATGTCGGTAACCCATTGACACTAACATCCACACGATCATTCCCGTTGGCACCACAGCTGCGTAAAATTGTCCAAGAGGCGGTACGTCAACAGGCCGAAACAGGTTATCCTCAAGCCATCATTTTGTCTGGTACCTCGGGAGCTGGTAAAACACATTGTTCAATGCTGCTTCTCCGTCAACTTTTTGCCGTAGCTGGCGGTGGCCCAGAAACGGATGCCTTTAAACATTTGGCAGCCGCATTTACAGTATTACGTTCCTTAGGTTCGGCTAAAACCACAACCAATTCTGAATCTAGCCGTATCGGTCAGTTTATCGAAGTACAAGTAACCGATGGTGCTTTATATCGAACAAAAATTCATTGTTACTTTTTGGATCAGACGCGTGTCATAAGGCCATTACCAAAAGAGAAAAACTATCACATCTTCTATCAAATGCTGGCCGGGCTAAGTCGCGAGGAAAGAGTCAAACTCAATCTGGAAGGATATTCACCGATGAATCTGCGTTATTTGCAAAACGGAGATATTGTACAAAACGAACAGGAGGATGCGGTACGTTTTCAGGCATGGAAGACGTGCTTGGGTATTCTGGGTATACCATTTTTGGATGTGGTTCGTGTTCTAGCCGCAGTATTACTATTGGGAAATGTACAATTCATTGATGGTCAGGTAAGTTAGGTAACTTTTGTAATTTTTTTCAACAAGAAATATGTTTAAACATGAAATATTTAAATAAAAAACGAAACGAAGTAATTCTTTTCGCGTCTTTAAATATATGGAACTTGCTTCGATTTGGATATGCTTTACACAATTAAGTATATAAAGTCGAATAGTTCTTTTGTTTTCAGAAAAATTATATATTTTCGCCATTTTAACATAAAATTGTAGTCAAACGCTATTCAACATACTGTAAAATAACATTAATGGTTCAAATACCGGCTAAATCTTCTATTCTTATTTACAGAGTTTGGAGGTTGATGTCAAGGGTGAAACTGAATTAAATGCTGTTGCCAGTTTACTGGGTGTTCCACCAGCCGCCCTTTTTCGTGGTTTAACAGTGAGGTGAGTTGTGTTATACCACGTGTAGATAATTTAACTGTGGTTGTTATGGAAGCTTCAATTGGTTTGGTTTTGTGTGATATTTATCAGGCAGCCCACATTGATATAAAAGAGATTTAAACAGCCCCCAAATTTGTCTACGGGTAGAAATATTCGTTAAAAATATTCGATTTTTGTCAAGGAAGGCAAATAATTTTCTTAGGGAATCCAAACTTAAAATATACCTCAGATGTATGCGAAATATACATTTATCATAACAATGCTTGGGCATTAAATTCTTGAAAATATTTAAAAATAATTGCAACCGATCAAGTTTTTACCAACATATTTGTATGCCTAGAAATTGGTCCAGACGATGATTTGTGAAAATATACCTTTTGGTAGAATATTGAACATATCTTAAGTGTTATTCGATCAAATCGGATACTCTCGTCACTATCAACGAGAGATATGATTCTTTTCAGAAACTTTTTGAAATTTGGGGGGTGGCACCGGTAGGTGCGGAGTGATTATTTAAATTGATGTAAGTTTGATAATAATATTACCATGTACATATAAAGTTTTGACTAAATGGAAGCTATATCTAAAGGCTGAGATATTTCTGAGCAAAATCGGATATCTGGCGCCAAACATCATTATATTGGAGCACATATTGCGAATGTGAGGGCCTTAATCAGGAAGTCGGATGAGACACATATATTGAACTATAGCTATATATCAACCGATTTTCACCACATATGAAGTACTTGTTTCTAGGCTAAGTTCGGTCGTACCTGAAAAATCCACTCCATTTGGGCTCATATTAGCCATTTGGCAAGTTAGATGAAATCGGATATAGATATATATGATAGCTATATCCAAATCTGATCCGATCTTGATATAATTTGAAAGAGGTATTTCTGGAATGGTGCCAAACACCATTGTTGTGCAGTGCACATTTAGAGTATCTGATCCTGGGCTGAAATCGTGGATGTGCTGATATACATCTTATTGGATGAATATTGCACATATGGCGCAAAAAAAATTAAATCGGACGAGGATATATATGGAAGCTATATCTTAATTTGGACCGGTTCTCACCAATTTCAATAGAATTCGTCCTTGGGCCAAACAAAAAATTAGTCGAAATTTCATCTCAATTGGACAGTAAATGTGTCCTGTACTTTACAAACGGACAGACGTGCGTAAATCGACTCAGAATGTGATTCTATGAAGATTATCAAAAGGAACCATTGGTCTATTTCGTTTGCTTCTGTTACAAGCAAATGCACAAAGACATGATACCCTCTACAGCTTGGCGATGGTACAGATGTTCTTTCTAAATTTTAAAATTCAGACTTTATCCGCTCTCCTAAAAACAGTAATACCATATTTTGTACTGGTGAGTTTTTTTAGTACCCAACAAGTGCATATTTTTAACAATTTTTCCCATTTGTCAATTCTTCAGAATATACCCTACCAGTTATACCCTACAACACTATGTGTTGGGGGTATTATAAGTTTGATTGGGCCAAAAGTCGATCTAGCTATGTATGTCCGTCTGTCCATGTTCATTTGTAATCACGGTACAGGTCGCAATTATGACCCGATCCTCCTGGAATTTTTCATAAAAGTGGGGTTATGGTCAGAAATTTTCCCGATTTTGCAGTTGCTCTACAGTTCGCAATTAGAGACCAATCGACGCACAGAGGGGTGAAATCACAAAACACGGAGATTAATTAAAAAATAAAATTGGTCTTTTAGAATAAATGTTTTTAAACTATTATAGAACACAAAATTCTACATCAGTACCGAAAATTTTAAAGTCATACCTTGTTTAGGTTTCTAATTACACAGTGGCAAAGTTAAGAAATATTTTCTTTTCTCGCAAGAAGAAGGAACAATTTCCTTGGATTTTTGAAGTGCAATAATTTAGTTTTTTTTTCTCATCAAAAATTGATGATTTTAAAATTGAAACATCGAATACAGGTTTTTGAGTAAAAAAGTTTTAAAAATAATGATGTTAAAATATTTTAAAAATCAATTCAAAATATTACCATATTTTCGCCATATCTGAAAAGTATATGGAGTTTTAAAAAAATAATATCGAGAAGGTCTTAAAATTTTAATTTATTTTAGTATGGAAAGTCATCTTTCATAATCAACAAAAAACTCGTGCCGTTTTTGATTAATTAAAAAAAAGGTGAAAATAGTCAACTGATTCTGCGGTGAATGTACTTTGATCTAGATCTCTGTTTCATTTGTTTTTTTTTATTTTTTTTTTATTTTTTATTTTTATTTTTTTGCTCTTTTTTAAATAAGTTTCTCTTGCATTTTTATCCTGTTAATCACTGGAATTCTAAACTATATATAAAAATATTCCAGTCTTTTTAAAATGTCAGTTGTGAGGTTACTTGCCCCACCCTCAATTTTGACTGATGATCCAATTTAAGACAATGAGAGAGATTTAGGGGAGGATGATTTTTCTATTTCAGATCGGAATGCTTAATTGCCAGCCAATTTTTTATACATATTTTTTATAATTTCTCATAAAAATATGTCGTCTTCAGATTTTAGAAGGTTTTACAAAGGATAAATTAATTTTCTGGCTTTACTCAAATTTTGGTTTTTTATCCATTTCCTTCCATCCATTGGGAAACAAAATACCAAATAATAAGTTTGTAAAAAAACTCTGTCTGAAACCCTAATATTAGGAAATGCCATTTTATGTTTTGCAGGGAGAAATTTCAAAAATACCTAAAATTTGGAAGTGCCGTTATATACGGTCAATATCTAAAATTTGGAAGCGCCGTTATATATGGTCAATACTAATAATGGATTTATCTTCACAAAATTTAGCAGGGAATGATTTTGTCCGCTCCGAACTCAAAAGTCAAGATACTCATGATTGGGTTTTAAATTTTGGCCGAAACCTTCAAAATACCAAAAAATCAGGAAGTAAAGCTATATGGGGGCCTCACAGAAACGTGGACCGTTATTTCCCATTTTAATGCAAAACATATTAGAGGTAATATGAATGTCTGAGCAAAATTTCAGAGCGATAGAATGCTTCCCTGAATTAATCTCCGTTTTGGGCATCTCACCCCACTGTGTGACGCGGAAGTTAGCGTGTGGCTAGAGCTTAAGGCTGGGCAGAAGCCTTCCAATTTGGATGACCATCGGGTAATACTTAGTGGGTGAAATAGACCATAACATTTCGGTTAAATAAAAGTCAAATTTTCCATTAAATCGCGACAATTTTTTAATCCCGGCGAAATCACCGATAGACGACAAGGTCAATTCTGAACGTTACGTAGATGCCGATAGTAAATATATCGGATAATATAAAGTTAAATATATATAATCACCTTAAAACACAGGTTGGGGGTATTATATACAGATTGCAAAAATGTTCTATTTTACAGTCGTTATAAAGGTCACAAATAGAAACCAAAGGACACGAAATCTCGCATGAAGTTAGAGTTTTGAAGAGCGAGTAGGATGGACCGCTACTTTTGTGTGAAAAAATACCAACATCTTCATTCTACCGAAACGTTGAAAATAACTTACAGGCGAAATTCAAAATACACAAAAGGCGAACTTCTTTTTTAAGCTGATTTCGTTGACGAATATAGCCAAATATAGTAGACAAGCAAATCATATAGATGAGTCTAAATTTGGATATACAGGGGGTCTCTTGCATTCGGAGAAGATCGCAAAATATTTGGGGGTCCAAATGAACCAAATACAGAAAAAATTTCCTTCTCACACAACTGAAACCAATCGACACGGAATTTTGCATGAGAAGAGAATTAAGGACAGGGAAGAAGTCTAGTATTTTGGATGACGACTGGATAATATTCAGCTGTAAATGGACCACAATAACTAACAGTACGACGGAGTGCGTAAATATTGGGCAAATGTCCCTGATCAAAACGCTAAGGGTAATGTCTGGGAAATGTTCTATGACATAATTTCAAAAGCGATTTCTTCCAAAATGGATTCTAACATATTGTAGTTTTGTAGGGCATCACATGATCGGCCCCGCACGACTATAGCCTTTGCTTACTTTTTTTCATAATTTTTCTCCACATTTTACCTTTTTATACACAGACAGTAATAATAACATGATATTTAGTTTAATATTGTGGTTTTTGTCCATTTCGATTTGTAATAAAATTTTGCAAGTTTTAGTAGTTTTTGTACTCCTACAATACAAAGTATCAAAAACTGCATAATATCTCAAAATTTGTTTCGCTTGTATTTGTATGAAAAGAGGAAAAGCAAAGAGTGAAATAAGAACAATTAGAATTAGTTAAAAAAAAATTACTTATAATTTTTAAAATATTTTCATTTAATTCTTTTAGGACACACAACGCTCGCGGACAACTGATAAAATCAGTTTGTGACGCCAACATGTCTAACATGACTCGTGATTCCTTGGCGAAAGCCCTGTATTGCCGTACTGTTGCCACAATTGTTAGAAGGGCAAATAGCCTGAAACGTTTGGGTTCAACATTGGGCACACTAAGTTCGGACTCCAATGAATCGGTTCACAATCAAGGCGATCTTGCATCGCAACACGCCTCCACTATTGGTGGAAATTCTGGTTCAAAGTCAATGGCAGCCCTCAACAACGCTGTGCGCCATGCTACCGATGGTTTCATAGGGATACTGGACATGTTTGGGTTTGAAGAACCCTCACCTCATGCCCAATTGGAACATTTATGCATTAATTTGTGTGCCGAAACTATGCAACATTTCTATAATACTCACATCTTTAAGAGCTCTGTCGAATCGTGTCGGGATGAAGGAATCGTTTGCGATACCGAAGTAGACTATGTGGATAATGTCCCGTGTATCGATTTAATATCTTCCTTGCGTACGGGCCTGCTGAGCATGTTGGATGCAGAATGTGCGGCCCGTGGCACTGCTGAGAGTTATGTGTGTAAAATTAAGGTGCAACACCGCAATTCACCAAGGCTGGAAATCAAACACACTACCGAGCCCCATGATCCCCGAATGTTCATGATACGTCACTTTGCCGGGCGTGTGGAGTACGATGCTACAGATTTTCTGGATACCAATAGAGATGTTGTGCCCGATGATTTGGTGGCGGTATTTTATAAGCATACATGTAACTTTGGTTTTGCCACACATCTTTTTGGTTCCGAATTGAAAGCTTTGTATGCCCTGCAAAGTGTGCCTCGAGGTCTAAGCTTTCGCATAGCACCAACATCACACACAGACCTATTGAATGGCGATGAACCTGTATCAACATTAACTCAAGACTTCCATACACGGTTGGACAATCTTTTACGTACTTTGGTGCATGCCCGACCACACTTTGTCCGTTGCATACGCAGTAATTCTATGGAAGCGTCTGGTTGTTTTGAACGCATGACGGTTGTTAAACAAATACGCTCCTTGCAGGTCCTGGAAACGGTAAATCTTATGGCTTCGGGTTTTCCTCATCGTATGCGATTCAAACAGTTTAATGCACGTTATCGTATGTTGGCTCCATTCCATTTGATACGTCGAAATGAAGACAAAATGGAAGAATGTTGTAACATAATCTTACAACACGCCATGGAAAATCCACCCGTCGTTGAGGGATCTGTTACATTGGGCTGGGCACCGGGAAAACGTCACGTTTTCTTAAGTGAAGGAATTCGTCAGCATTTGGAACATTTACGTACGGAAATACGTAACAAGAGTGCAACACTGATACAGGCAACATGGCGTGGTTGGCAGTGGCGCAAGAAAATGGGTGGTGTTAATCATAATCGTGCACACAACACTGGAAATGGTGTCCTTATGACATCTTCTTCGACCAAACTGAATAAATTGCATGGTCACAATGGACTAAATGGAGGAGGTAAGCTAAAATACGTTGCATACTTTTGCAGGTTTCAAAAGTGAACCCCAGAAATAACTTTATAACAAAATCAATTACATGATATGTAGTTAATTTCGACTTAAAATTATTAGAAAAAATAAAAAAGCATATTGATACATTCTATTTTATTAGATTGTACGCAGCAAAAAATTGGGATTTCAATCACCTCCCACACTTCACTAGGTTACCGCATCGTAGTCTACAATTTAATAGAGTAAACAAGCTGTAAGTTCGTCCGGGCCGAACTTGGAATACCCTCCACCATTTGGAACGAATTTGGCAACTTTCGAAAAAATAAAATCCGTTAAAAATGCTTTTAAAATCTTAAAAATACCATGGACCTGTATAGGCAACTTTTGTCACATTCCATTAAAAAATCAGACTTAAATTCGAGAAAATCGGTGAATAATGTAGCTAAAATCATCAAAATACCGAATATAGGGAGGTAACATTATATGGGGGCTATACCAAAACTTGGACCCGCACAGACAATTTTCTGTCTTAGGCTGTAGTATACATTACGAACTTCAAATATAAAAATTTGAAACAATTCCGATGAATAATGTCGCTAATATCATCAAAATACCAAATATCGGGAGGTCCCATAGGTTCCATATATCAGTATTTGAAATGTCGTATTTGAAGTTCGTAATGGATGCTACAGCCTGTGACAGAAAATTGTCTATGTAGGTTTTAACTTGTTATTTTGAAACGTTTGATGAAAACATAGGTTATTGTATGTACTTAACGTTGGCTTCATGTTTAGGTTTTCCATACGTTATTTTGTACTTTTTCAAATATAGATAATTTCAAAGGTTTTCCGGAACAGTTTTTTATTCTAAATATATTGACGTATAGAAATTTATTAATTACTGTTTTAAAAATTTAAAATACATTTGGTGAATTCTGATATAATTGGTAGATTTAGAAGGTAAGAAATAACAAAACCAGTAAAAAAAGTCCTAAAGTCGGGCGGGGCCGACTTTATGATACCCTACACCACTTTGCTAATTTAGTAGAGCTCCACATAACAATTAGGGGTTTTTATGATATGATTATAATTATAATTTTAAAGTTCAAAGGACTAAATATACCGAAGCATTTGTATCTTTTAAATTCGGACTTGTATTGCCCATTTGGTGCAAAATTAATTTGAAATCAGATAAAAATATATATGGGAGCTATATCCAAATCTGAACCGATCTCGATAAAATTTGGCAAATATATTTCTGAGCTGTATTTGATATATTTCCCTGAATATCGTTGTTACGGAGTGCATTTACGGCTGTGGGTAACAAATACTACAAATCGGATGAACAATATATATGGGAGCTTTAGCTATATCTGAACCGATCTTTGACATACTAGGTTCTAGACTCGATTCGGTCGTAAGTGCCAAATTTCATCCTATTTGGACAAATATTAGACGTTTGGTGCACAAAAAAAGGTAAATCGGACGAAGTTATATATGGGAGCTATATCCAAATCTGAACCGATCTGGATAAAATTAAGCAAAGGTGTTTCTGAGCTGCATTTGATATATTTTCCCAAATATTGTTGTTACAGAGTGCATATTACGAAATATTGGTTTCCCACATAGGAAAGTATATGGATCTTCCTATCTCGCCAAACTGAGTCGATCTAGCTATTTATGTCCGTCCGTCTGTCTGTCCATTTTAATTTGTAATCAAGCTACAGGTCACAATTATAGCCCGATTCTCACGAAATTTATTTTGGAGATGGTCGCATAATATTTAGGGGTTGAAATGAACCAAAAACTGAAAAATTCCCGATTTTGCAGTTTCTCTACAGGTTGCAACTTTAGACCAATTTTTAATCCCGGCGAAATCACAAATATATATATATATATATATATATATATATATATATATATATATATATATAGAGAGAGAAATATAGATAGTGTGTATATACAAGGAAAGGGAAGTTAGCTAGAATGCTTATATTTGGCATGAGAAGAGAGTTGAGGACAGCGATGAAATGTAGCATTTTGGATGACCATTGGATTATACTTAAATGTAAAATGGACCACAACAACTAACACCACGACGGAGCGTAAAAATTGGACAAATGCCCCGGGTCAAAAAGCTAAGGCAGTGCTCTATGACATAATTTAAAAATCGAAATCATCCAAAAATCATTGGGCATAAGGGTGCTTCTTACATATTGTAGTATTGTAGGGTATAACATTGTCGGCCCCGCACGGCTATAGCCTTTGCTTACTTGTTTTATATTTAATTTTTTTTACCACTCATTCAATAATAAGAGATACTAAATATAAAGTACGTTTTCTTCGGAAGTTACTTGAATTGTGTGCTTCATTCATATATTCACTCCGAATGATTATTTAACTACACATTCCATTCCATCTATTTATGGATTTTTTTGCTATAAAATTTCAATTTTCATCATTTATTGTGATTTTTAATGTTATTTTCTGTCCTTCATCTATTATCTGCACATTTTAGCCACAATTCCAACACGAGGAACAACATCAACAACCATTCCAGCTAATGCTTCGATTGGCGTCAGTGCATTATCGGCATCGTTGCCGCGTTTATCGGCAAAAACCACAAATCCAGGAGGAGGTGGAGGAGGTAATGTCACGAGACCACGACCACAGCCAATAGCTGGTACTCCACCGCCGGACCCAAATGAGAAATGTGACACAAAGATAATACAACAAACATGTAGCCTCTTTGGATTAGATTTGGTAAGTAACCAACAAGTATCTACTGCTACTGGTTGTTGGTCATGGTTTAAAATGCCTCGGAATGACCTCTTTTCGTTCGGGGTGAATGCATTGATATTGGCCAATATTGACTGGGGCGAACAATGCATACCACAATAAAGGAGGAAATCACTAGAAGTTTTTTCTTTATAGATTAATGTGATGGGACTTACAGAATAATGCCACAAGAGTATGTTTACTACAGCTTTAAATCCATATTAAACTGACATTTAATGACCACATAAACTCACATTCTGCATTCATACCATAATCTTAGCACTATAATTAAAATTTTAAAGATTCCCCCACAATTATAATGCGTTGGTGAATTGTTTTTCTGTCAGAATAGAAATCCATAGATTTGGTAAATGTTAGCCTTGCACATTTAATTGCAGAACTACTAGAGGGATTCTTGGTGAGAGTTTAGCTGCGTCTCCAGTATATGAGTATTTCTGTGGCTATACAAAAAGATTTAGATCTCTTCTCCTCTTTCTTGTCCCTAACTTTAGGGCAAACAAAAACTCCCAAAAAAGAAACAAGAATATATTATTGTTGTTTGATTGCAATAAAATCTTGAAGACTTTAGAAGAAATAATAAGTCCAGGCAGTATATAAACATCCACGATATTTATATATTTTATAAATATTTTCTGTCACAAAGGATATTTTTGTGTCGGGGCGAATTCTTTTCTTTTTCGCTCTAAGACAATAAAGGTAGGTGGCAGAGTTGTATTTTGTGGGAGTTCGCCTTCTGGTAGACCTTATAATTGGACCATGAGCTGGTCTAACTTGTCGACCTTATAATTGGGCCATGGACACCACCTTCTCTGGCAGATAATTTGTTATAGAGGTTCACCTTTTCATATAGCCCCACAGAACAGTAATCTATAAAAGAAAGTTGTGTTAGTTACTACGCTTATAACTTAAGAACCGCTGGACTGATTTTAACAATTCATATAATTTCGGAATTGTCTCCTATCCGAAAAGGACAATATCCAAAAAAATCGCGTAAAAATGTGATACATTAACATTTTCATTTCAATAGTAATATTTTATTTTGCATGATTTTTTCCATTTTGACTTACTATTTTCTAATGTACATTTGTATTGTTTTTCATATTTTATTTTTGAATTCGAATATTAATACCAATTTATTGACTTGATTTCTTGAGAACTGAAATTGATGGCGGGTTACATGGAAGTGTAGTACCGTATTATGTGGTGACGGAACGGAATAGCTTAAATCGAAATAATTTACCGCGGTCAGATAAAAGATAATTACTTTTTCAAAATAGCTAAAAAATCACGAAAAAGAGATCTCATTGCCAAAATTCTTAAATCGGGAAAAAATCGAAAAAAAAAATCAATGGAACCGAATTTTAAAATAATAGTACATTCTATTGCCAAACTTTGTAAGGATCTTTAAACATTTGCTGTAAAAAACTGCGAACAAGTTGAAGATTTTTTCAATTTGTTATTCTTCTTTTGTCAATTTTTTTCAATTTGTATTATCATATTGAATTCAGTGGATTTTTTGTGAACAAAATAAAGAATAATTTCTCACGATATACAACTTTTCACAAAAAAGATATAAGTTCGAAATACGATGTTAAGTGACGTCTACCTTTCAACTCCAGGGTCTATATTGTAGTTCAGCTGGATGATGCGAACACATTTAAACAAACAAAAATGACCCAAAAATCCTAATGGGACTCATTTCAAAGCGTCGACCAATCAGTAAAATACCAAATATAAAGGGTGCAAAATAGTAGAGCGAATGGGACTTTTAGTAAGAAAAGGATTTCTCTCTTTCCAGAAATTCTTCTCAAATATTCAAGATACCTTAAATTGTTTTTGCAGGTCATAATATCGATCATAACTCACGGATAAGGTTACAACTCGATTTCATATTTATATAAGCATCGTATGATTTAAGCTATTTTTGGGGTATTGGACACTTTTTAATTTTTTGGCCCTTATTTGACATCTTTGTTTCTAAGGGGGTAGAGAATCTCTTCGCATAAAATTTGAAATTTTCAAAGTAGGGCCCATATTGGTATTGACCACATTCATCAATTGATTTGGCTAAAAAATTGTATTTATGCTACCCTAGGGTTGGGAACCATCATACAGATAATTCCCACATAGGAATTATTTAAGTAAAGTCTCCACATTGGAGTATCCCCAAGTCCACTTTCACACCTAATGTGTGGTCAGAAAGGAAAATTTTGTATTCTATTGAATTTGTAACCCCCAAGAGAATATTGGTTGGGAACGTAGATTTGGAATGTACATTGTTGAATCGCCATTGAATTATACTATGATGAAACGTATGGACTTTATGGGGTCTCCAATTTACAATTTAAATGGAAAATAAAATAATAATAAAAACAAGTAAAAAGCTGTAAGTTCGGCCGGGCCGAACTTTAAATACCCTCCACCATTTGGTACAAATTTGGCAATTTCCAAAAAAAAAAAAATAATAAAATCCGTTAAAAATTCTGTTAAAATATTAAAAATACCGAATGCCTATACGACGACGTGGACCTGCATAGGCAACTTTTGTCATAAGTTATCACAATATTTAAATGCGAAACTTGAAGAAAAATCTGTTTATAATGTACGTTAAAAACGGTAAAAGGGCTGAATTCGAAGTTACAAATGTGTCTAAAAGCATCAAAATACCGAATATAGGGGGTACATTTATATAGGGGCTATACGAAGGCGTGGACCTGCACAGACAATTTTCTGGCAATCCCGGTAAATAATGTCGCTAAATCATCGAAATACCGAATATCGGGGGGGTACGGTATATGGGGGCTATACGAAGACGTGGACCTACATGGCCCATTTTTTGACTTAGGATGTAGTATGCATTACGAACTTCAAATACCAAAATTGAAACGATTCCGGTAAATAGTGTCGCTAAATTAATCAAAATACCGAATATCGGGGGGTACCGTTATATGGGGGCTATACGAAGACGTAGACCTACACAGATTATTTTCTGTCTTAGGCTGTAGTATCCATTACGAACTTCAAATGCCAAATTTGAAACAATTCCGGTGAATAATGTCGCTCGGAAGGTACCGTTATATGGGGGCTATATGATAACTTAGTCCTACATGAAGTTCGTAATAGATACTGCAGCATAAAACAGAAAATCGGCCATGTAGGTCCACGTCTTCGTATAGCCCCCATATACCGTACCCCCCGATATTCGGTATTTTGATGATTTTAGCGACATTTTTTACGGGGATTGTTTCAAATTTCGCAGGTGAAGTTCGTAATGGATACTTCAGCCCATGCCAGAAAATTGTCTGTGCAGATCCGCGTCTTCGTATAGCCCCCATATTACGGTACCCCCTATATTCGGTGTTTTGATGATTTTAACTATATTATAAACAGATTTTTCTTCAAGTTTCGCATTAAAATATTGTAATAACTTATGACAAAAGTTGCCTATGCAGGTCCACGTCGTCGTATAGGCATTCGGTATTTTTAAGATTTTAACAGAATCTTCAATGGATTTTATTTTTTTTTTTTTTTGGAAATTGTCAAATTTTTACCAAATGGTGGAGGGTATTAAAAATTCGGCCCGGCCGAACTTACAGGTTTGTTACTTGTTTACCTTAGTACCCATTAAAAGTTATGAAATCGGTTTTAACATCCGATTTGTTCCCTTAACACAAACACTCTTGATGTGTATTCCGTAATGAATTGATGCGTTTATTGGATGTAAATCGGAATCGGTAAATCCAAAGAATTTTCTATACCTGAGACATACCAAAATAGAAATTAAAATCAATTGAATTCATTTACAAACGAATAAAATCAAGTGCATGGGGATATGCATGGAAAGACAAACTTATTGAGAAACATGCATAAGTCGTCCAGAAAATGATTTTTTTAAAGATCATACAAAAAAACTATGGGTCCAGCTCGTCTCCTTCTTAATGATATAATCAGATTCACAAAGACAAAATTATCTAGCAGCATGAGGTTCGATATAAATTCGACCGTTTTAAAAGACTATTTGACTGTTCCAGAACTGCATGAATGTAAATGTTTTTACTACGATAACCGATTTTCCCTTTATGATATCGAAGAAAATTGCAAAACTAGTAGATTCTTGAGGTTCTGGAACACGCCATATGCTAGCACTTCAGTCCGGAAAAGAACCCACAATTCTTCGGAGAATTATGTATACGTTCTTTACAGCCAATTTGACACGTTTCAATTCTAAATTGAAATCTCCCTTAAAGCTTCAAAGAAAGAAATTTTCTAGATCAAATTTCACTGTGAATCACTGAACCAATGAAATTTGTATACTCAATTGCTCTGTTCCGGAATTTCGAATATACAATAAAAAATCATCAGTTTTGGTTTATAAAAATCAAATACTATTTGTTTTTCTAGAGATTTATAATGGTATTTTGATTGAATTAGGCAAGGCCAGCCAACTTTTATAGGGATATTTATGTATAGACATAATAAATAAAACAAGCAAGGCAATTTAAAAAAAATGAAATCCGTTAAATATTCTGTTAAAATCTTAAAAATACCGAACGTATGTTAGGGTATATACGATGACGTGGACCTGCATAGGCGACTTTAGTCACAAGCTACTGCAATATTCAAATGCGAAACTTAAAAAAAAACGGTTTATAATGTAGCTAAAAGCATAAAAATACCAAATATAGAGAGGTACCATGGGGTTATAAAACGTGGACCTGCACAGAAAATTTTCTGGTATAGGCTGTAGTATCCATTTAAATGCGAAATTTGAAACAATTCTGGTAAATATTGTCGCTAAAACCATCAAAATACCGAATCCCCCCGATATTATATGGGGGCTATACGAAGAAGTGGGCCTACGTGGCCCATTTTCAATACCGAAAGCCCTGCTGACATAATACACATTTGAGTAAAATTTTATTAACCTACTTCATTTCGTTCGGAAGCTAGGGAGATTTCTACAGACGGACGGACATTGCTTGACATTGCTATCTTGCCACTATTATGTAGCAATAATAGCTCATAGGTAGTTCAGGTCCATGTTTGTTACCGATAGATGGATTGTACACTTTTCCAAGTGTATTAACGCTGTATTAACCATATATTTAGCAATTCTTTCAATTTGCCTTCTGTCGTATATTAATGTATTTTTAGAGTTTATTAATCTACCTAGCTCATTTATAGTTGTTGTAAGTCTGAGACAGTGTTTTAGAATTTTTTCTCTCTAGTATTCTCATTCTTTCCATTTGATGTGCCGATATTGTGAACCATTAGGAAACTCATATGTCATAGCTGGTTTTACTAATTGCTTGTTCAATATTAACTTCTCATTCTGCGTTAGACCTTCCCTCTTAGCAATCATATTTCCAAGTTTTGCATGTACAGCCTTGCCTTTACACATAATCAATATGTCTTGTAAATTGCATATCTGATTGAAGTTTCACACCAAAGTACTTCAATATGTCGGTATTATGGATAACGCTATTTCCTATTTTATTCGCAGGAATGCATCTACTATATACCGATCCTAGCTTTCCCCGCAATATCAGCGGTACAATCATTCACAGTATGTTTCATATTTGTCCATTCTTTAGGGATATGGACATCCACATTAACACTGCCTGTGGCAATTTTGTTTACAAGCTCTTATATAGTGTTTCTCTTCTCTTCTCTTAATTTTGTATTTTCATTAAGAACATTTTCATATTTTTTATTTAGTTCAATTAATTGGTCTACTATTGGCGTATTTGGTTTGTTTTTTCTTTTGCGTTTTACTTCAATGTAAACATCGGATTTATTGTTGTGATTGTGTATAGGCACACTTTGGTTAGAGGCACATATAAATATTGTTTGAATATTATCATTTGCAGTCATTGTCTTAACGTCATCTGCGTTTAAGCTTGTCAAAGTTTATTTTCTTTGTCACTAGTTTGAAGTTTGAACAAAATTTAATCTCTATGGCGAGATAAGGGAGAATACCTCACTAAATTGTTCTTTAATTTCTATTTTCACCATCACTTTCTTTTTTCACTAAATAGGTCTTTTCACGTTGAGCTTTAAGCTAAGAATCTCTTAAGCCAAATTTGTAATGCCTGTAAATAGCATTGATCATTGGAGACCCCATTAGGTATATATTCTTGATCACCATGAACAGTCTCTCGGTTGAAATCTAAATATACACAATAATTTGTATTGTCTAGTATGATTAGCATTAAGATGTGGTTTATTGGTCCACTTTAAGCTACATCCCTCTTCTCTTCTCGATATTTTGAATGTTTCAGCCACAATTTGTAATGACCTGTAGTCAAAAAAAGGGGGGGGGGAAATTTCAATAAAGATTCACTTTAGTATAGACCCCAATACAATTTTGCCTTCCAATTTTAAGTATTTCGGGAGATGAAACGTATTTTCCCTAATTATGTATAGTTTGGTTAAAAGCTATCTACCCAAAAAATTTCAACATTGGTAAACTATTTGCTATAGACATATCGTACATTCTGATATTCGCTACACAAAGTTACAGTCCCAATTCCCAACTTTATTGAATTAAGCATTTAACATTCTCATTTAATGAGAAGCTGTTGAAAATCGGTCCACATTTTGACATAAACCTCGAAGTTTATGACCAAGTTTTCCAGACGAAATGATTTGGATTTGATATTTTGACAAGGTTTCCATACAATGTCGAGTATGCGCAAGTTTTCAGACGAAATAAACTGTAATTACCCTGCTGTTCGGCATTTGGAAGGTAAGTGGCAACATCCAACCGAATTGACATTGACCTATATTTTTTTGAATGCTCATAAATTTCTTCATTTGGTAGAGGGTTTCAAGTACAACATTCAGCTGAACTAACTGCACTTTCGCAACCAGGGTTTCTAGTGAATATAAATTTCCTCTACGAAGAATAGTATATAGATCAACATGTTAATATTAGATCATGTTGGAGCCATATTCCAGCCACATTTTACTGCCGAACTGTCTGCTGCATTATATTTTCAAATTTTGATAGACAGAACACCTCTTTCCCAAAAATTGTGAACTATACATAGATGTGGGTTCTGGGGTTTAAAATCTTAGTGAAGTGTTTTAATCTAATTAGATATAACATGATATTGTTCCTACTTATTTGTGTACAATTAAAGACAAATTAAGGTCAAAAAAATTTTTGTAAAACACTGTATTTATGGTTACAATCCAGATAATAATTGGTTATTTTGCACTTCTATTCATTGCAGGAACGTCCACCGCCTGTGCCACCTTCTCGTAATTACACCATAACTGGGAACACCAAATTAAGTTTTCCGCAATCGCGTGTTATGAAAATGAACTTTCCCGAGGACACTATTACAAATCCGCCTACCGAACAATTGAAAAAGGGCGAAAGTGTAAATGTTGTTGGTGCTTCGTCATGTCGTGGCCACTTGATTGTCGAGCACAAAGGACAAAATTTTCATGTACCCTTCCAATACATGGAACTGCTTAGAGGTTTGGCCAATTGTACAACGATTACGACCAACGGAAGCAACACCATTCAAAATGCCACAAACAACAATACCGGTGGAGCAAACAACAACACTGGCGGTAATAATGCTCCCAATGCAGCCGCAACAAGTGCAGCTGTCAAAATATAACCGAGTGATAATTAACAATGGAGCACTGTTTTGTTGGTCGTCATCCCATTATGGTCCTGTGAATAAACCAATGAGAGCTATGCCAAGTATGAAATAACTGAGATGTGTGCTAACAACAGATCCATGCGTTGTAAACTATGAAATTGAAAGTCGAAATATGCAACTCCAATGTTGAATTTTTGTAAAATGGCTCGCAGGCCACCAAAAGCTTCACATGAACATAGATGATTAATGTTGATGACCACATGAATAAATTAAGACTGTAAATATTAAACGCTACGAATTCCTGCATCATCCTTTTTATATCTAATTTGTATTTGCCAGTAAACGAGCAACAAAAATATGTTACATAATAAGACTTTGAAAATAGCCCAAGTATTCTCATGAAATTTGGTGAGGTATTTAACTGAAAACTATAATTATAGTCAAACACGGTTGTATGTATGCACACAGCCAGCTGGACGAGATGAATGTAATTATTCATTATTGCCGTTCCATGTACGGAAAATACATTTACCGTGTATCGACTGCATGGATACTATTGTATGGTAGATTATTATGATGACTACATCATATTTTAAAATTTCCACATATCCGGTTAGTGGTGGATTAACAATTAGTATTATCGTTTTAGGTAAAGTGTCAAAAATAGATTTTAGTTTCCCCCATTAAGTGCCAATCTACACGTATATAGTTTCTAAGTAATCCTGAGGTTCTTTAACGTGCTTTTAAAAATATTTCGGCGTTAAACGATCCTATATTTCACATTATATCAATAAAAGTATTTTTTCAGTAACATTCAGTTTTTCATTTAAATATTCACAAAAAAATAGCATTTTCTTATTAAACACTTCGCTATTAAAGTGTTAGAACATTAAACAAACGTAGGATTCGTCAAAGACGGCTGACATTCGAAATGTGAATGCGAACAACAACATCCATGCAAGTTACCGCCGATGGGTTAAATCGACCCACTTTTTCGTATAGCCCCCATATAACATTACCATCTTACTTTAAGCATTTCAACAATGGTATTTGAATTTTGTTACGGGTTCCTAGGCACCTTGCAAAAAACAGTTATATAGGTGCACATTGTGGGATATCTCCTATATAACTGTATCACCATATACTGGGTGTTCCGATAGGTTTTCCCATTAGTTTACCGGATAATCTGAAATTTTGTTTTTTAAGTTTTTAATATTTTTAAAATTTATCTGTTTTTAAATCGTTTTGAATAAAGTCAGGATTTTATGTCATTCCGGTGTATAATGTCGCTACAATCATCAAAACACTTAATATCGGGAAGTACCATTATATGGGGGCTATACGAAGATGTGGACCTGCACAGACAATTTTCTGTCTTAGGCTGTAGTATAAATTTCGAACTTTAAACACCAAATGTGAAACAATTCCTATGAATATTGTCGCTATAATCATCAAAATACCGAATATCGGGAGATACGGTTATATGGGGGCTGTACCAAAATGTGGACCTGCATGACCCATTTTCAATACCAAAAGTCCTGCAGACATATTATACATTTGAGTAAAATTTTATCAATCTACTTCAATTCGTTCGGAGGCTAGAGTGACTTCCACAGACGGACAGAAGGATAGACGGACGGACATTGATAAATCGACATAGAATTTTATGCTGATCAAGAATATATATACTTTGTGGGGTCTAAAATGTATATTTTGAGGTGTTACAAACGGGATGACACACTTAATATACCCTCCGTACTATGGGGTAGGGTATAAAAAGCAACGAACTAATTATACACTCTACCATTTGGAATGAACTTAAAAAATTTTAAAAAATACACTTAAAATGAAGACAGTTATTTTGTCATTGGCTGTAGTGCCCACTAGGACTTGAAAATACGAAATTTGAAACAATTCCGTTGACTAATGTCATAAAAATAAAGAAAAACATCATAATAATATCGAATATTGAGAGGTACCGTTATAAAGGGACTATAAGAAGACGTGGATCTGCATGAGTAATTATATGTTAAAGTTGTGATACACAATAAGATCTTATAAAACGAAATTTGAAACAATTCTGGTCTATAATGTATAATGCTAAAATGAATAAAATACCGAATACTGAGAGGTACTGTTATATGTGGGCTATACGAAAACATGGACCGACATGACCCATTTACGAACTTAACCTGCAATTAGCAAAATACATATGTGTGTAAATTTTTAGACTTCGATACATTTTAAGCTGATGAAGAATATATATGCTTTGTTGGGTCTACCATGAGTATTTCCAGGAGTTACAAATGGAATGACAAAGTTAATATCCCCTTCATAGTGTGGTGTAGGGTATGAAAAAATTACACACTCAGATTTTTAGTGCATTTATGACCTCAGACACATGAGACCTATAAAACATAAAAATCTAAGGATTCTTAATTATACCCTCCACCATTCTCATTTCAGACCCAACAAAGTATATATACATATATATATATATATATATATATATATATATATATATATATATATATATATATATATATATATATATATATATATATATATATATATATATATATATATATATATATATATATATATATATATATATATATGATCAGCGTAAAATTCTAAGTCTGTCTGTCCGTCTGTCTGTTGTAATCACGCTATCTTTTGAACGAATTGAGATAGGAGGCTAAAGTTTTGCACACATGTTTATTTTTCCAGTAGGCAGGTTAAGTCCGTAAATGGGCCATGTAGGTCCACGTTTTCATATAGCCCCCATATAAAAGTACCTCCCGATATTCGGTACTTTTGATGATTTTAGCGACATTATTCACCGGAATTGTTTCAAATTAGGTATTTGAAGTTTGAAACGGATACTACAGCCTAGGATAGAAAATTGTCTATGTACGTCCACGCCTTCGTTTAGGCCCCATATAACGGTTCCTCCCTATATTCGGTATTTTGATGATTTCAGCGACATTATTAACCGGAATTGTTTACATTTTGGTATTTAAAGTTCGTAATGTATACTACTGCCTATGAAAGAAAATTATCTGTGCAGGTCCATGTCTTCGTATACCCCCCATATAACGGTACCTCCCGATATTCGGTATTTTGATGATTTTAGCTTCATTATTCACCGGAATTGTTTCAAATTACTTATTAGGAGTTCGTAATGGGAACTACAGTCTGTGACGGAAAATTGTCTATGCAGGTCCAGGTCTTCGTATTGGCCCCATATAACAGTACGCCCCTTTATACGACATTTTGATGATTTAGCTACATTATTCACCGTTTATTTCAAGTTTCGAATTTGAATATGGTAATGACTTATGACAATCAATGTAAGTCCACGTCGTATAGACCCCAATATAACAGCAATATTCGTTTTTTTAATTTTAACAGCATTTTTTAAGGATTTTATTTTTTCAAAATTTCTAAATTCGTTCCAAATGGTGGAGGGTATTCAAAGTTCGGCCCGGCCGAACTTACTGCTTTTTAACTTTGTTTTTAATTTTAATAGTTATTGATTTATTTTCAAACTTTTGCTGTTCCAGAAACTGCAAGAGTTTACTAGTTTTGCAATTCTTTCGATGTCGTAAAAGACAAATCGGTTATCGTAATAAAAATTTGTACATTCTTGCAGAAAACAAAAAAGTTGTTATAAAATGATAGTAGAGTTGCAATGTGAAAAAGGGTTCAAATGAGATCTTCTCATTAATTCGGCCATGAATTATCCTATATTCTGCCATGACTTGAACAAAATCCCGGAATTTACCATCCTATAATGAATTAGGGTAGGGATACGTAATGCCAAATTAAAGGGACTACGACATGAGATATAAGCGATATCTAATTTTTATTCATTTTAAAATATTATTATTAGTAGTCCCTGACTCTCGTGCCTGTAGATATTTGTATTATATTTTCATTATATAATAAGGATAAAGTTACGTTTCTCGACGAATTTCTGGAAAAATAAATTAAAAATGTGATTTGTGTAAAGTATTTTGTGGCACCCAAAATGCAGCAAATTTTATTTTTGCTGTAATTTAATTTATATAAATTTGAGAAACTTTCCGTATTATATTTGGAGCAAGCGATATCCATAATAAGAATAATACAAAAACCCGGACAGTTTTATTCATAAATTATGGGGTGGAAAATGTATATTATTAGGTGTTACAAAGAGAATGACAAACTTAATATACGTTCCATACTACGGCGGAGGGTATAAAATTGGAATATGAATGAACAGTTCATTCGTTTCCGGGGTCGAAGAATGTAGTCCATGTGTCAATTAGAACATATCGTTATTTCATATATTGTGTTTTAAAACTTTCGATATTTTCTTTTATTTAAAACAAGCAAGGCGAACGGATAAATGTGACACTCAACAACAGCAACCTAAGTAAGAAGTTATTGAAACATACATTCCGACCTTTGTATGGTTATTTGTTAGGGGCCCGGGAACAAATATTTAAAGTCCTTCAATTCAGTTACCAAATTATCATATTATCGAGTAATGGCTCGCATCAATACTGCGTGCATACGAACAAAAACACGAAAGTAAAAAAAAGCGTATCAGTAAATTTCAAGTTTATTATTTCATTTATCTCTAAACATAGTTATTCAATAACTTATTATCTAACAATAGTTCTTAAGTCTATGACTTAAATTTACTTAGCATAATTCTTATTTTTCTAAATTTAACTAATTAGTACAACAAGGGTGGTCACATAGTTAATGTTACCTAACATTAATTCATTTGGTACAATGAAACCTAAATGCAAAATAAATTTACATCAATAAACTCCCCTAAAAAAGATGAATTAAAAAGGGGACTCTAACATTTTTTATATTTATGGTCCTCACATACTATATTAAAACTAATCTTATATCTAATTATACTTCTTAAACTAATTTACATACTACTATTTACAATATATACAGGGAAAGGGCGTTACACCAGTTACTGGGCTGTTTGGTAGATGTCTATCGAGCCGAACCTACGATGATAGAAGAGGAGTGTGTCCTTTCTTATAGAAGACCTTCTTCTTACACTAGATGAAGAAGCTACTTGGCGCCATATAATTGGCCCGAATTAGCCTTTGCACATTAGTGTCGTGCAAAAGGCTTTCCCTAACTAGACTATTATCTAACGTAGCTGTCCGGTCTAGGAATTTAAGAGCACTGATCATTAGAAACTTATCTATGCGGCTGAAGTCTATGGAGCTATATACTATCCTGTTGGGCGGTAAACGCCATACTCCATCTTCACCTTACGTTGACCTTAAGCCCAAGCAGGACCTAAGAATCCGTCTTTTCCATACGCGAAGCCTTTCCATTTGGCGGGAAGAGATCCCAAACCAAGTAGGAAATGCGTATGCAATTAGTATTTTTCGTACTCTCTTTTGTTTGTAAATGTACCGAAACATCAGGCGAACTGCATTTATATATTTCTTATGATGTGTCCAACCACAATAGATTAACTCACAGAATCTAATAAACCCAGTGGTTACTCTTCAATAGTACAAATGCACTTTTACTGTATATTTCTATACCATGAAAATTCCAAGTTAAATGTATGGGTTAATAGCTCTCTATTTAAAGAGCTACTGTACAAGAACATATGATTAATCACTTGTATCACGCAAGATCATTTTTTAAATTGATAATTCTTGAAAGTTATGTACTTATTTGTGTTTATACAGTCAGAGCCAAAAGAAAGTTTACACCTTCATACACAGTAGTATTAACATTTTTTAATATCTTTGTAACTTGAGTTTGGCCAACCTTTTT